AATAGGTTTTAATACCATAAAGGTTTTAATACCAGCTAAACACTATGAAAGTATAAAAATAGGTTTTAATACCAGCAAAACACTATGAAAGTATAAAAATAGGTTATAATGCCAGCAAAACACTATGAAAATATAAAAATAGGTTATAATGCCAGCAAAAAACTATGAAAGTATAAAAATAGGTTTTAATACCAGCAAAACACTATGAAAGTATAAAAATAGGTTTTAATGCCAGCTAAACACTATGAAAGTATAAAATAGGTTTTAATACCAGCAAAACACTATGAAAGTATAAAAATAGGTTTTAATTCCAAAAACACAATGGAAGTATAAAAATAGTTTTAATACCAGCAAAACACTATGAAAGTATAAAAATAGGTTTTAATACCAGCAAAACACTATGAAAGTATAAAAATAGGTTTTAATACCAGCAAAACACTATGAAAGTATAAAAATAGGTTTTAATACCAGCTAAACACTATGAAAGTATAAAAATAGGTTTTAATACCAGCTAAACACTATGAAAGTATAAAAATAGGTTTTAATACCAGCTAAACACTATGAAAGTATAAAAATAGGTTTTAATGCCAGCTAAACACTATGAAAGTATAAAAATAGGTTATAATGCCAGCAAAACACTATGAAAATATAAAAATAGGTTTTAATTCCAGCAAAACACAATGGAAGTATAAAAATAGGTTTTAATACCAGCAAAACACTATGAAAGTATAAAAATAGGTTTTAATACCAGCAAAACACTATGAAAGTATAAAAATAGGTTTTAATACCAGCTAAACACTATGAAAGTATAAAATAGGTTTTAATACCAGCTAAACACTAAAAGTATAAAAATAGGTTTTAATACCAGCTAAACACTATGAAAGTATAAAAAATAGGTTTTAATGCCAGCTAAACACTATGAAAGTATAAAAATAGGTTATAAAAAAACACTATGAAAATATAAAAATAGTTTTAATTCCAGCAAAACACAATGGAAGTATAAAATAGGTTTTAAAAACACTATGAAAGTATAAAAAAATAGGTTTTAATACCAGCAAAACACTATGAAAGTATAAAAATAGGTTTTAATACCAGCTAAACACTATGAAAGTATAAAAATAGGTTATAATGCCAGCAAAACACTATGAAAATATAAAAATAGGTTACAATGCCAGCAAAACACTATGAAAGTATAAAAATAGGTTTTAATACCAGCAAAACACTATTATAAAAATAGGTTTTAATACCAGCAAAACACAATGGAAGTATAAAAATAGGTTTTAATACCAGCTAAACACTATGAAAGTAAAAAAATAGGTTTTAATACCAGCTAAACACTATGAAAGTATAAAAATAGGTTTTAATGCCAAAAAAAAACTATGAAAGTATAAAAATAGGTTTTAATTCCAGCAAAACACAATGGAAGTATAAAAATAGGTTTTAATACCAGCAAAACACTATGAAAGTATAAAATAGGTTTTAATACCAGCAAAACACTATGAAAGTATAAAATAGGTTTTAATACCAGCAAAACTCTATGAAAGTATAAAAAATAGGTTTTAATACCAGCTAAACACTATGAAAGTATAAAAAATAGGTTTTAATACAGCTAAACACTATGAAAGTATAAAATAGGTTTTAATACCAGCTAAACACTATGAAAGTATAAAAATAGGTTTTAATGCCAGCTAAACACTATGAAAGTATAAAAATAGGTTATAATGCCAGCAAAACACTATGAAAATATAAAAATAGGTTTTAATTCCAGCAAAACACAATGGAAGTATAAAAATAGGTTTTAATACCAGCAAAACACTATGAAAGTATAAAAATAGGTTTTAATACCAGCAAAACACTATGAAAGTATAAAAATAGGTTTTAATACCAGCTAAACACTATGAAAGTATAAAAATAGGTTTTAATACCAGCTAAACACTATGAAAGTATAAAAATAGGTTTTAATACCAGCTAAACACTATGAAAGTATAAAAATAGGTTTTAATGCCAGCTAAACACTATGAAAGTATAAAAAATAGGTTATAATGCCAGCAAAACACTATGAAAATATAAAAATAGGTTTTAATTCCAGCAAAACACAATGGAAGTATAAAAATAGGTTTTAATACCAGCAAAACACTATGAAAGTATAAAAATAGGTTTTAATACCAGCTAAACTCTATGAAAGTATAAAAATAGGTTATAATGCCAGCAAAACACTATGAAAATATAAAAATAGGTTACAATGCCAGCAAAACACTATGAAAGTATAAAAATAGGTTTTAATACCAGCAAAACACTATGAAAGTATAAAAATAGGTTTTAATACCAGCAAAACACAATGGAAGTATAAAAATAGGTTTTAATACCAGCTAAACACTATGAAAGTAAAAAAAATAGGTTTTAATACCAGCTAAACACTATGAAAGTATAAAAATAGGTTTTAATGCCAGCAAAAAACTATGAAAGTATAAAAATAGGTTTTAATTCCAGCAAAACACAATGGAAGTATAAAAATAGGTTTTAATACCAGCTAAACACTATGAAAGTAAAAAAAATAGGTTTTAATACCAGCTAAACACTATGAAAGTATAAAAATAGGTTTTAATACCAGCTAAACACTATGAAAGTATAAAAATACGTTTTAATACCAGCTAAACACTATAAAAGTATAAAAATACGTTTTAATACCAGCTAAACACTATGAAAGAAAACACTATGAAAGTCTAAAAATAGGTTTTAATGCCAGCAAAACTAAATAAACTGACATTATTTCATAGCCTAATTACACAGGCATTTCTTACTCAAATGATCTCAAATTTTAACAAAATGAGTAAAAACTAGGTTGAATATTTAATTATTTTTTTTTTCAGAGTGAAAAATGATGTTTGTGTGTTAGAATATGATCAACATGATATGCTTTTCATTGTTTTTAAAAGATTTTTCTGTTTCATAATATTTTGCTTAAGTTTTGGAAGGCATCTTTTGCTATCCCAGTGCAACTTTGGATTTCACTATCACATATAATTCCATTTTTAAAACACTTCCCAGATATTTAAATTTTCATTCTCGTTTTATTTTGGTATCTCCAATTTGTAATTTGAATGTTAGGTTGTTCCTTTTGCTGACAACTCTACATTCTGTTTTTTTTTACAAATGATATAGTACTTTCTTTTCCCTTTCTTTTACTTCCTTCAGAAGTTCCTGTAGTTTTCTTTCTGTTTCTGCTATCAAACTATGTTATCTGCATATCTTATGTTGTTAAGATTGTATCTGCTAATAATAAAGGACATTCTTGTTCACACAAAATACCATCAATAAAATACAACAGTAACCTGTAACCATGAGAAAAAAATGAAGCTTTGGCTTGTTTGAGCTTATCTACTTTTTTTCCAAACTATCTCATTGGGAAATTTTTTTTTTTATTACAGAAGGTTCTCTTTGTACAAGGCTCAGGGGCCACTTGAGGTAGAGAGTTACATTAAGGGGCAGTTTATGTGGATAGGTGAGGAAGATAACGGTTAACCCTAGACTTGAACAAGTTAAGATTGAAGTGATCAGGGGAATGTCCTCTTGCAAGTTAGTCTCACAGATTTGGTTCACAGAAAAAAGCTGTTGATGTAGAACTTACTTCTCTGGAATACAGAGGTAATGTGGATGGTTTGCTACAATGTAAGTGGCATGGTGGGTCCTTACCATGAAGGTTAGGCTTGGCTGAACCAAGGAATGTCGTACATCCAAGCACTTTCCAGGAGAGTAGCAATAGAGCAGTGCCTACTTGTGAGAGAAAGGTTGGAAAATAATTTGTTACCAGCAAGGACTTGGAGACACTTTTGAACTCTACCAAAACTAGAAAGTGAGGACTGGGCAGCTCCCATCCAAATATGGCAATAGTACTCCATTTTCATCTGACTCTTTTAAAAGTAGAGGATAGCATGAGGAGTCAGGTAACTTACTGGAGCAGTACAGGGAACTGACCATTCTACCTGCATCTTTACTGATGGAGTGTATATATGAGTTCCATTTGAGGTCAGGTGTAAGTTTGAGGTCCAATATTCTCTTGAGGTACGATGCCTCCCTGAGGGGACATTCCATCCATTGTGACTGGTGGTAGTTCAGGGTCCAATCAGGAGTGACACAATGTAAGTAGTTGCAATATAATGGATATTGATGCAGAAAGTTGAATCAAATTCTGTGCTAATCTGTTGCATTCACTTTCAAACAAATATCCCTGGGAAAAGCATGAATATAGGTTAAATAGTGAAGCATACATGGTTGCCTTGGATGGCAAGGACAACTCTGAATAAAAAAATCAGCCTATAGCAGGATGGGCTCTATCTTGCCCTAGACACACCCACTACTACTATAGCTTCACTACATGTGATTCACCTACAATCCTAATGGGTTATGAGATTCGTAATTGTGATCTCATCTGACCCTAATCCTTCTCCACTCCTATGCATGTGCCACAGTTACCATGTAATGTTTTTGTTCATATTTATTGATTATTTTTTATGGCTTATCAACCTTTTGTAGGTTATTCAAAGCCAGAAAATATTTTTAGACTTTAAGAATTCTTTTTGGAGATAATAATGATTTACTTATACACATCCTACTAATTAACCCATAGCTGGGGAAGAAGATGTTGCTTCAACCTTTCCCAAGCATATTTGTATGTAAATGACTATAATGAACCTGAATGGAATTGGAACTCATTTCTAATTCTGAGTGGTTATCCATCACACCAACTGCACATTGAAACTTACTATACCTGGTATTCCTAAGAAGTCACCCATCTAGGTACTGACCAGGCTCGATGTTGCTTAACTTTGGTGATTGTACAAGAACCAGTGTTTCAACATGATATTGCCATAAGCTTTGTTCATATTTAAAAGTATAGACAAGGTCCACTTTTCATATTTGACATATAAAATTATATTTTATGTCTGTAGTGAGTCCTGCTGCTGCATTTGTCATTCTAGTGCCATATTTTGCTTTTTCTTTTACCATTTGGTAGACCGAGAAAAATATAAGACAGATAGATAGATAGATAGATAGATAGATATGATAATAGATAGATAGATAGATAAGATAGATAGATAGATAGATAGATAGATAGATAATAGATAGATAGATAGATAATGAATAGATAGATAATAGATAGATAGATAATGAATACATAGATAATAGATAGATAGATAGATAATGAATAGATAGATAGATAATGAAAAGAAACAGATAGATAGATAATGAGAAGAAATAGATAGATAATGAAAAGAGATAGTGTTGCAGACCCGGTGGCATGCAGTGCTGGTTTATTAAAAGGTGGCCTTGTGCCAGACACTACTTATTTCTACCGAATCCACAAACAAAGTAAGAATATTAAATGAGTGATCTTTAGTGAGGAAAAGGGGTCATTTAACACATGCACAAAAATAGTAAAATATAGATAGCCAGGATTAAACGACAAAATGAGTCTGGTGGAAAACAAATAAGAAATTTTATTTTAATAACAAATAATCTTGTCTCAACAGTGGAGACAATCAGAAAAGGTAAGGTCTGTTTTTAGCCTGTAGGCAGTTAGTAATATGTAGAGACTAATAAAATGTTAAAGTTCCGCGCCAAAACAGAAAAAAACCAAGATGGCTAAGGCGGGAAAAGTTTCTTCAGAAGGAAAGTTCTGGAATAGTGTCTTTTTGTACCAAAGGTGTATGCGTACACAAATAGGAAAAGTACTCACTGTGAGGTTTAATAATGTGTGTGTAATGTTATTATTTTTGGAACTGGTTCATTTAGAAGTTTCAAAGGCGTATGAAAAGTTCATCAATCTTCATTGAGGAAAATTCTGCGTTCCCTGATATTGAACGTAGGGAAATCGAAGAAGTCGTTCGCTGAAGGACAAGGGATCAGCCTTAAGAGTGTGGTGCCAGCTGTGTCGTAGACTCTACGTCTCTCTAGTAAGAAATGGAGGACAGTTCAAATTAGTTGTTTGCATTATGACGAGGCATTAGTTCTTACAAAAGTGCGATGACGACAGTGCCGTATGCTCTCGAAGTGAACAGAGGAAAGGTCGAACTAGTGGTTTGCTGAGGGACAAAGCATTTTCTTAAAAGCGTGATAGTCTCTGCATACTCCAGTAGTAAATGTTGTTTGAACATATTGAAGTCACAGGAAAACATTCGGCAATGCACCAGGGAGGCAGTAGGAAATTTTGGTCAGTTGAGATATTCCGGCCCTCGTATGGGTAAGGGGCACGGAATAAATGAGTCAACCTTCTTATTCTGGTAACAGACCACGACTGACTTGAAAAATAAAGTTTGTCAGTGAAATGTGCGGGAAGATTTCAAATTCCAGTTCAGATGGTATCAGGAGCAGCCAGTAAGCTTGAAGTCAGCAAAAGGCTGGCTTACTGCTATGTCTAGTCGAAAGTGGAAGGAAGGGGTGCAAAACGTGCGCTCGCAAAAGGATGGAGTCTATACACGCTTCCACAATAGATAGATAGATAGATAGATAGATAATGAAAAGAGATAGATAGATAATGAAAAGAAATAGATAGATAGATAGATAGATAGATAATGAAAAGAAATAGATAGATAAATAGATAAGAGAATGCAACAACTCACCATTTGTTGTTTGTTTATTTGATAAGGTTGTGGCTGGTTATTCACATCATAGCAGCAGAAATTAGCTTTGTGTTCACAGAAATAATAATAATAAAGGCATGGTAAATTGTACATTAATTCCATACAATTTATTTATATTTTTTCGTGTGTATTGGTGTATTTTTTAGGTTATAATTGTTTTATGGTACATGTGATAAAAGGGAGAAGTCACTCTATATTATTACATGCCATCTCACAAAGAGAGGTTGGACACATGCTGCCTGTATGAAGGTTCATATTGAAGAAGTTGAATTTAACATCTTTTGGTAGGATGTCTGTATTTCCAGCAGGAACAGTTTTGTTGCGTGCTGGGAGTATTTTATTATTTTTTATTTAATGTATTTTATACAATGTTTTTATGTTACTGTCTTATTTTTTTTATTTATAATTTTCATTATTACTATTATTTTATATTTATTTATTTATAATAATAATAATAATAATGTCCCTACAAGGTCTTCTGAGTGATGACAGGTTTTGAAGTCCCCACTGGGTGTGAGTCACTACCACCGCATCGTCAGCAAAAAGCATGTCTCTGACAAGGGCTTCACATACTTTGGTCCTGGCTCTGAAGCGAGCAAGATTGAACAGCCTACCATCTGATCCTGTACACAGGTAAACCCCTTCTCCTGATGTGCCTAGTGCATGCTTCAGAAGCAGAGCGAAGAAGATCCCAAAGAGATACACAAAACATATAATTATATTTTATATATATATATATATATATATATATATATATATATATATATATATATATATATATTATGGTGTTTCTGACAGAGCATGAATTCTGTGTGCTTCAACAGCAGATTTCCTTTGAATAAAATACTGCAGTAAAATTCCCCCCAAATACACTTTCTTTGCCATAAAATCTGACATGTTTAACGCTATGAAAACGAAGTTGTTTACACTTTAGTGAAATGACATAACACTGAATTTCAAGCTTGCGTATAGTACTTCCTTATAGTTACCATCTGAAACTACATGCTATATGTTGGAAAACAGCAAGAACTTATTCAAGGTCCTAAGATATATATATATATATATATATATATATATACTACAGGCAAAAGGTTTTGGGCAGCCCTGAATTTCTTAATAAACACCTGAAAATGAGATATTTTTTTCTATTTTATTTTTCAAGTAAAAGATAAAATTTCAGTAACTAGAGTGTATTTGTTTATTTTTCAGTCTTTCTCCAGGTTCCTCTTATTACCAAAAAAGTTCACATATTTTTACCAAGTTTTCAACTAAAGATGATTCCCTAACAAAGTCTCTAGTAATATATATATATATATATATATATATATATATATATATATATATATATATATATATATATATATAAAATATCCCCAGCAATATATGCACATTACAGCAAAAACTTTAACAATATACACTACCGGCAAAATGTGTTGGGATATCCTGCATTTCTTTAAAAAGCTCCTTAAAATGAGATAATTTTTCTATTTTATTTTTAAAGTTAAAGATAAAATTTCTGTAACTAGTGTATTTGTTTTATTTTTCAGTCTTTCTACAGGTACTTCTTACTACCAAAAAAGTTCAAATTTGGATTCATCTGTCCACAATACATTTTGTTAAATTATGAATATTTTGTATGAGAAATGTTATATTTTGTTTTTCACCATTAACCTCTCAGTAGACTTTTCAACTAAGTTAAACATTAATACAGGTTGTAAATGTTAATCTAGCACTGATTAATATTGTAAACAAAACGTTATGTAGCTGTCTCTGAAGAAAAAAAAGATTGTGCTATTATGACAGCATTTTCATTGATTTTTTTTTTTAATTTATTTTTTAATTTTGAAGTAATTTGCACAAAATAGCAAAATCAAAGCAGCTAAACATTGAGGTGAGGGCACAAATTGAAATTTTATTCAAAAAAAGTTATTCTCCAAACAGTTGAAGATTTCTAGACATAGATTTGTTACAATGTCTGTAAGAAACAGGTGCAAATGTTGACAGAAAAAAAAACTGGAACACCAAAAGTGACAACTGCTGCTGAAGATAAACACAGGATTATGAGAGCGAAAGAAATAGAAAGAAAACTGTTCCAGAGTTGACAGCTGAACTTAATTACTCAACCACTGCCACTTTCAATTGTGAAAAATCAACTTAGATCAGCGGGGATCAGGTGGGTCATAGCCATCAAGAAACCCCAGTTAAGGAAGGTGAATAAGCAGTAAAAACTGTTATGGGCAAAAAAGCATAAGAATTGGACATTGAAAATGTGGTAAAATACATTATGGACAGATGAGTTCAAATTTGAACTTGTGGGATCAATCTACATGGATTTTAGGAGGAAAATAAAATCCAAATGTCATATCCACAAATACAAGACAAAATTATAAACAACATAAAGAAAGGATCTTTGCCAAAAAGGAAGAAGACTAAACTAAATATGTCAGTAACATTACAGATAGATACATGTATTTATAGATTAAAAATCAATGTTCTTTGTTGTGACCATGAAGAGACCAATAGTTCAATGGTTTGAAGTGATTTGTTGTGAGTGAGGCTGCAAAGTTTCAATCATCACCAATATACATGTTGTCATGGTACATGTGTCTATGTTGTTGATTGAGGCCTGGTCTGGTTTGCTGACTGTTTTTTGCCAACTGTCCTTCACTGACTTTTTTGTTACAGATCCGGTCACTGACTGTTTCTGACAAGCTATTTTATTGCTATAGGTCAGCTCTGAATCGCTATCTGAGTTTTGTGCCAAAATCTGCTCAATAACCCGAGCCCTGATCCATTTCCAGGTCACTTGGATTTCACTTGTATGGATGTAGTAGAGAGCACATCATGTGACTTGTCATATCCAATCAAATTCTAGTATTTAATTTGGAGCTGTGTTTGTACAGAATTGTAAAAAGTTTTTTGTATCTATTGAATTTAGTAAGATTTATTTGTAGGCATCTCTTACTTGTTTGTGCTTCACTTATTGATCGTAAAATATAGGAGTTTATGTCCTATAATCTTTTTGGTAGAAAGAGGAGAGTGTACATGAGAAGAAAGCCAGGGGAAAAACTGAATGATGAATGTCTGATTTCAACAATTAAGCATAGTGGTGAGTCTGTTATGGTGTGGGGGCGTTTTGGGGAAGAGAGAACTGGAGATTTGATTCAGATCAAGGGAATCAGGAAAAAAGAACAATATCAATTTTGCAAAAAACGTAATATGCTATGCGGTTTATGCATAATTGCAAAAAATTCGCCTTTCAACAAGACAACACTCCAAAACACTCTTCTAAATTATGTCAAAATTATCTCAAGTCAAAAAAAAGGACCAAAATTTTGGAAATTATGACTTGGCTGTTTCAATCTCCTGACCCTTCTCTCATTGAATTAGTATGGGATGAATTGGATAGGAGAGTTTGAAAAGAATACCCAAAGAGTGAGAGTGAGCTTTTTAAGTGCTTGAAGAACGTTTAGGAAGGTCTGCTATCTACTAAAACTGTTAGAAAGAATACCAAGAATTTGTAAAGCAGTAATTAAGGTGGTTGGTAGTTTTATTGACAAAAACAAAATATGATGCTGTTGTGTGATAATTTTGTATAGTTAATTGCTTATTTTATGTCAAAATAAAAGCAAATACACAGTAGTTAGTGAAATTTTATCTTTTACTTTAAAAAATATAGAAATATCTCATTTTAAGGTGTTTTTTATAAGAAATACAGGGTGAACCAAAATTTTTTGCATGTAGCGTATATAAAGCCAAAATATTAATAAACGCAATGAAAGAACTACATAATAACAATAATATTACAATTAGACTCATTGATACAAACAGTACTTATACCATACTTATCAAAAACCAACTACAAATCAAAACTTACAGCCATCTTAAAAGACAAAACAAAATTTGTAAAACTTTACTGATAACCTTTAAAAACATTAACAACATCATTAGTGCTAATAATGCAGAAATAGCTCTCCTGAAAATATAAGAAAAATCACTGGTGAAAACAAATCGACTATCTATATTTCTCATGTTGTCTGTCTGTGTGTGTGTCGTTACCTCGCCAAGGCCGCATTTCTCACCCAATTTCGATGTGGTTTTCACCACAAGTTTGCAAATGGCTGCCTTAAAATGACTGAGCCCGATTTTTTCAGTTTGGACTCAGGTTCAAAAAATCGATAATGTTGTCTGTCTGTGTGTCTTCGGGCGTTGTTACCTCACCCAGGCTGCATTTCTCACCCGATTTCTATGTGGTTTTCAAAATGGCTATAAGACATGACACAGCCGATTTTTCAGTTCAGACTCAGGTTCCAAAAAAAATCGATAATTGAAAAAATCGATAATCGAAAAAATCTGCTTACAGAAGGAATTATTGCATTTCAACCAAATTTGTCACCCTATTAGAGTCTACCTTTATATTGTCCAGAAGTTTCATGACCACGGACCCCTAAACAGCGCGGAAAATCGATAAAACCCAAAAAGCCGATATGCCCAGATTGCACCTGAACCGCATGTCATTTTTTTTAGCAAACCGATCAGATTTATGAGGAGGCCATTGGGGAGTCACCATGTGAAGTTTCAACTCTGAGCCCCCCATGCAAATGGACAATCGCTCAACCCTTAAAAATGTTTTTCCGGTTGGGTATTTCCTAAATGCAGATTAATTTAAGGTCACGCTATATGCACGGGAAGAAACAGGTTAATGCGTGCAGTGCTGTATGAGTCGTTTTTTGAATCAAGCATAGGCAACACCGGGCATGCTTCTAGTTAGGATATATTTATCAAAAAAGTAAACCCCACAAACATGGAGATCCATTAAAATTAATAGTTTCACAAATACTATATCTCCAAAACAACCAAATCATAAAACATATATACCCTCAAATTACAACATTAACTACATGTGTGATTTCATCCAAATCCTCAAAAAAAAAAAAAAATAATATTGGACATTAAAAATTTAATCACCACCATCTGCATCA